GCATACAAATGATTGAATTGTTCAGCTCAATAATAGGGTTTTTATAATAGCTAATCACATGCAATGTTAAATGCTTTCATGAACCTCTTGAATGGCAAAACTGACTATGAAGGGAATGCTCAGTTAAATTAGGCACGCAGTGACCCACCCGACAGCAGAAATGAGAAATATGTGGCTGACAGCTGATTAAATACTCAAACTCAGCACAGGACAGAGTACAGAAGCAGCTACACACACTGCGTTACACACACTTAAAATAAATAAGTGTCAAAATGAATACAGAGAAAAAATATTAAATACATTCATTCTCTTGTCGGCTTAGTCCCTTTATTAATCTGGGGTCGCCACAGTGGAATGAACCGCCAACTTATCTAGCACGTTTTTACGCAGCGGATGCCCTTCCAGCCCCAACCCATCACTGGGAAAACATTTATAAAGTGGCATAATCGGTCACATTTAAAGCGTACCATCCCAGTGACAGCTTTCGCCCTTTATTTGTGAGAGCGTAGGCTGTCATATCTCCTCATATCACTTCACTGACGGACACAAATGACAGATTAAGTCCTGGGTGTAATGAACATTGTGTTCGCCCACTTTAATTGTCACAGCAGAACATGATACTATGAATCACGCAAACAGCAGGCCGGGGTCTGACTTCACCGACACAAACTGCTAGTGAAAAAAAAGTAATGGATATTTTTAAATCCCGCATGATTGGCCCAAATCCTGGAAATATTGGCCGTTTGGAGATTAAACCGGGCCGTGAGCGGCGGAAGCTCAGCTGGGAACCCGTATTCACTGAAGCCTTTAATGCACCCCATGTGGGAAAAACAGAAATGAGACTGAATAAATAATAAATGTGGATGTTAAAATAGAATATAGAAGGGGCGATATGGAAAAACGGCCATGCATTTGTTGCTTTGCATTGCAAAACGTGTGAACAGCATGTAATAATTGTAAAACATCACTAGTATTAGTCAACAAACGACTTCTATGGTAATGATGCATATTAAAACAGTTTATATTGTAATATTATTTAAATGATATGAGCTAGAATGAACAGTTATGATAGATATATACACTAGATATGGCATAGGGACCCTGAGCATGCGTCAATAGCGCCGCCACATTGGTACAGTGCTCCCAGAACTAGTGTCATTCAACCGCACTAGTCAAGACAGTGTTATTACGTGAAGATGCGGGACTTTAGCGCTGTCTACGGGTGTAGTAACGAGCAAACAAAGAAAACAAAGCACAAAGGTAGAACATATTTATAGGTAATATTACGTTTCTTTCTGTTTTTGTATGTTGTGAACTTTTGTGCTAATCAGGTCACGTTATTGATGATAACAGTCACTTACTGCATTCACCATACGGCAAAGCAGCTCCAACTCACACTAAACACTCGACTTGTGCTAGTTTTGTTGAATAAAATCAGCAAGCAATGCAAAAGAAATATGACAACGAGATGCTGCGCTGCCAGAAACTTGCATTATTGTCGGCTAACGTTAGTGAAAGAGTCGTTCTAGGGATTCATTCACAAACGAATCGCTCCCTCCGTCAGTATGAGAAGTGAAAGCAGGAGAGGAGCTGTGTTTCAGGACATGATTAGATCAAATTTAACAGGGAGGGTGGATAATACATTTCTGTACACACAAACACAAGCTTTTTGTCAGGAATGCCCGTGCGGTCACTGATCCATCAATGTAGAAAAGTGATGTCAAATTATAATTTTCATAATTAGAAAAAAAATGACATACTAACATCCAGGAAAACTCCCGATCATAGATATATGTGTATATGTGTACATCTCTGGCCTTGGATGGCCACAGTCTTCCACTGTACCTTGGTCCCACATTCATTTCAAAGGAGCGCTACCCTGTACCAAGATGGCGGCACTATTGACGCATTCCGTCCAATAGACAACAATAGGCCAGGCGACATCTAATGTATATATCTATGAACAGTTATTAGCAATTAAGGTTATAAATATTAGTTTAAGGTGTCTCAGTGGTTAGCACTGTGGCCTCACAGCAAGAAGGTTGCTGGTTCGAGTCCCATCTGGGTCAGTTGGCGTTTCTGTGTGGAGTTTGCATGTTGGCGTGGGTTTCCTCCAGGTGCTCCGGTTTCCCCCACAGTCCAAACACATGCATAATAGGGGAATTAATTTATTAAATTGGCCGTAGTTTATAAGTGTGAATAAGTGTGTAGGCAAGGCAGTGGCGCAGTAGGTAGTGCTGTCGCCTCACAGCAACAAGGTCACTGGGTCACTGGTTCAAACCTCAGCTCAGTTGGTGTTTCTGTGTGGAGTTTGCATGTTCTCCCTGCCTTCGCGTGGGTTTCCTCCGGGTGCTCCGGTTTCCCCCACAGTCCAAAGACATGCGGTATAGGTGAACTGGGTTGGCTAAACTGTCCGTAGTGTGTGAATGTGTGTGTGGATGTTTCCCAGAGAAGGGTTGTGGCTAGAAGGGAATCTGCTGCGTAGAAACTTGCTGGATGGGTTGGCGGTTCATTCCGCTGTGGCGACCCCGGATTAGTAAAGGAACTAAGCCGACAAGAAAATGAATGAATGAATGAATAAGTGTGTATGGGTGTTTCCCAGTATTGGGTTGCAGCTGGAAGGGCATCCGCTGTGTAAAACATTTGCTGGATAAGTTGGCAGTTCTTTCCGCTGTGGTGACCACTGATAAAGAAAGGGACTGAGCTGAAGGAAAATGAATGAATGAATGATTATAAATGTTTGCTGTAACAAATGTCTTGGTCATTAA